CCACTGACTGAGCCCCTTCTGTGTACCCAAACCTGTGCTCACACTTACATGTACCTCCTTAACCCTCAGAGTATTGCTGTCTGTTCCAAATATGATGAAAATGAGGCTCGGATAGAGGAAGTGATTTTCCCAAGGCCATGTGGCTAGAGAGTGGTAGAGACAGACTTCAACCACCAACCTGTTTGGCCTTCTTTCCCCCTGTGTTACACAACAAACATTGGCTCTGTGTCTTCTGGGATTTCAGAACCTAAGCCTGGGGAAGGGAATGATGTAGGGATAAATAGTCATGAGAGAAAATACATCAAAATCTATGACTATACCGTGCAACATCTGCTTCCTGTGCCCTGGGTATGGCTGCCCCATGTCAGGCCCCTAATCTAGGAGACCACATAAAGCCCAAAGTCAGACACATTTTGAGAGTAAAAGGGAGTGTTTAAAATAATGAAAGGAGTTAATTGATCTACAACAGGAATAAACCAGAACTGTTCCGTGAAAACGAGTATATGAGATCACCCTACCCAATCCCATCTTTGCCTGACCTATCTCCCCACCAATGGAGCCAAGCACTGTAACTGAGACTTGTCGGCCCTAAAAATCCATGCTGTTTGGATAAATGTGCTGCATCTCTAGGAACCCAAGCAATAGATCTGAGATAACATCCAGTTTTGTTCAGCTGCTGGCTTGTCCAACTTTGTGCTCTAAATATATTAACAAGACTTCTTTGGTCTTGGCCTTGAGAACCTGTCCTTTAGGGGGACTTGCTCTTTTTGGGACCCATCCCAGTTACCAGGCCCCATCCAGTTCTGCCCCTCAGTTCTCATCCAATGTCCTGTAGACAGACATCCTTGACCTCTAAGTATCACTTGACCTGGATTCCTCATCACTGTCTTCTAGCAAGATAAAGGTATTCCCCATTGGCCTGAAGTCCCCCAGTGCCCAAACTGGATTTGGCTTTGCTCTGAACTTCACCTTCATTGCTGCACCCCTCAGAATTTGAATTATACCTTGCTGGACTACACCATCTGTCATAGTTGGTCAGTGCCTCCCATCCATAAGGCATGTTCCTTTCAAGTGAGCCTTGTCCTGCACCACTTAATGAGGTTAAGCCAGTCTTCTGCCTTTCTCTCCTGGAATTCTAGATGGACCCAAGAGAGAACTTAGTTGGAGAGTATCTTCCAAGTGGATCTGAGAAAGACTGTACATCTGTCCTGGCCTTTGACCACCTGGCTCCTACATCCAGCCTTATAGACACTCTACAGCCTGACTGTACACACCCTGTAAATCAGAACTTCACCTTGGTCATAGAGATGCTACAGTAGAATGATTTGGAATTTGGCAGATCTAGGTTAAAATTCAGACTATGTAATTTATCTACTAGGAGGTATGAGCAAGCCACTTAATTCTCTTATACTCCTACTATCAAATGGCTTACTGACCTTGTTGTGAGGACTAGTTAGATTATGTGTAGTGCCCAGTGTACCATCTGATAAAAGTGAGTGTTCAGTAGTAGGCAATTATTGCTACAGTAATAGGGTTGGTAGCATTTACACAACAAGGAGATCTGTGGCATTGGATTATAGTAGAGTTCAATAAATGGCAGTGACAAGGACACTAGGAGGTATTAGCAGCATTTATGTTATCCACACCCAAGCCTTAGGCATGCGGCCGTGGATAAGATGCTTGAGGACATAAAGACACACACACATGCTTTGGAAGGAAACAAACACATCTTATGAGTACTATCGCTGTGTCATACAGAGATGTGGCAGCTCAGCCATAGGACTCCTCCCTCCTCTGAGTCTCAGTTGGGGGAAGTTTCAGTCCCCAGTGGAAACTTAAGAAGGATGCCCAGCTCACTAGCTCCAGGGGCCACACCCAAAGTGTCTTGTGGCATTAAACTCCCTGGCTGAGGCTTTTATCCAGCCCAGGGGCTCTGTGCTGTATTTACCAGCATGGACAGCGAATCCTCAGGGCTTACTAGGGATCAGAAATCCACTCTCCAACCCATGCTAATGCAAAGAGGACCTCTGTGTCTGCTGTCAGCTGGAAGCACCTCCCTCCAGGACTGCTCTGCATTCAGCACACTTAAGAGAGGACGAGGTGTCCTCTGAAGGGCCACAGTGCTAAGGTGAAGGAGTGAACTGCTTCTATACTGTATGAGACCAAGAGAAAGCAGGCTGTTGGGGCCACAGGAGTGAAGGAGGCTACTCAAGCAGAAGAACAGGGTGCTGATCATTTGTACTTGGGACTAAGGGAAGGGTTGGAGGGTTTCCTTCCATGGGCACCCCCAAGAATGACAAAGGAGCCCAGTCTTCTCTGTCCAGCTCACTGGGTGAGAAGTGTAGGGAGCGCCTGCCCTCACTGAACAGGAGTGGGATCTCCAGTGCACTTTCTAGCCTTGCACAAGTCCCTCTCAGGAGCACCATACCAGCCCCATGCCCAGCATGTGTGCTGGGGCCCCTGACAAGGCATTCTCTTCCTTTTTCTGCACCCAAAGAGCAGAGGCCAGGAAGGGACAGATAAGTGTTGGCAGGTGGAGAAAGGAGAATGGGTATGAATATGGTGTTTTCCTAGCCTGAGGGCTTGATGTAATAATTTCTTCATGGGTCCTTTGAGAGAGGCAGTAGGCATAGTGGTTAGAACCTGGCAGGCTATGCAGCCAGAGACCCAGCACTGGAACAGGCTCCCAAAGCAGTCTGCAGTCCCTGCTAGATACTGTGGAGAGATCTTGAAGAGATATAGCCTCTGCCCACAGCCTGGCTGGGAACACAATATGTAAGATCTACAAGGCTAGAAACCCCAGGCTGAGCTGTGAAGGTAGGGGGGATGTGGAGAAGCAAAAAGGGTTATAGAAGGCATTCCCAGCAGATAAACAGCTTGAGGGAAGCAAGATACAGATCCACATGGCATGTATGGCTGATACTGAAAAAGCCAGTACCTTGGAAGATCTGTAGCTCAGATAGGAGGGCCCCCCAGCTGCCCAGACTATGATCCTTTTGGTAACCATGCTGTTAATATCATGGCTCAGAAGTCTCATTTAGGTATTGGTGAATCGCAGACTTGAAGATTGGTTAGAATAAGATGGGAGAGCCCTTAAATTCCAGGCTAAGGAACCATGAGAAAGGGCATAACAGATGAGACAGTACTGGTGGCTGGTGGGTGGACTAGGAAGGGGACCAGGAAGCAGCCCCTGAAAAAGCCTAGTCTGGGGTATGGACAGATGGAAAGAAGTATGTGATCTCCTCCTCCTTTGCAGCCCTCATCATCCGGCTTTGGGCTTGGCCTGGCACTGCTGACCAGTTCTTATGTCTTGGAAGTTTCCCCTCAATGTCTAAGACTCTGAGCTTCCCTTCTCTCTCCTTCACAACCACTCCTAATAGGAGCCCTCTTTCTTTTCATCCAATTCCTGGTATTCCCTAAAGCTCTGCACATCCCATCATACCATCTTCTTTTGCCCAAACAGCCTCAAACAACATTCCCACCTTCCAGATTCCCACCAGTACCCTGTAGCAATCAGTCCTCACAATTGTGTTTTCAGCCCTGTCCTCTGAAACCTCAGATACTTGAAAATGCCAGGATAGCTCCTCTCTGCTCCTTCCACTCAGTTGCCCATTATCTAAATCCCTCCCTTTTGTGGAGCACTATCAATAGACCAGGTATATTTCACACAACCTCCACTATGGAGGAGGTATTACAGATGAAGAATATGGGACTCTGGAGCCTAAGTGACTTAGGAGCAGGTAAAGAGGCTACAAGACTCAGATTTGTGGACACGAAGTCTATCTATGCTCTGTGTACTCTGCTCTGGCCTCATGTCTCCAACTCCCAGAAGGAATCTCTTGCAATCACAATCCTGTTCAGCTGACTTCCCAGCTCAACCTTCCCCGTGGTGTTCATGGCACTGATGTGATCACAGGGCTCCAGGCTGGTATTTCTGTATCAAAGAATAGCAGAGCTGAAAGTTTCCTTTGGAGTGGGCAAGTCCAACAGCCTCACTTAAAAAGGGGGCTGTTGAGGCACCTGGGTTACTCAGTTGGTTGAGGTCTGACTCTTGATTTTGGCTCAGGTCATGATCTCAGGGTTGTGGGATTGAGCCTTACCTCAGGCTCCACACAGAGTATGGAGCCTGCTTAAGATTCTCTCTCATTCTCTCTGTGCTCCCCTGTTTCTCTCTCTCTAAATAAAAATAAAAATAAATGGGGCTATGAACATAGCAAATCCAGGACAGAGTTAGGACCAGCCCTTTGTTCTTCTGATTTCCAGACTCACTCCACTTATACTAACCCCTTTACTTGTCTAGTGTTTTATATTTTGCCAAATGTCTTGACATACAGAATCTTATATGCTCCTTGCCATTACTCTGTACCACAGATGTTTCATCTCTAACAGGTGGGATGACTGAGGCCAATGGAAGTGAAGGTACTTGCCCAAGGTCACACAGCTGGGTAAGTGACAACCCTGGGACATTCAAGAAGAGCTGAATTTAAAATGTGGTCATGGGGTAGTAATTGTAAGGATTCAACAGAAAATCCCACAGGTATCCAAGCACAGGAAACAAAGGGGGAACTGGAGGTAGCAAGTCAGGAGCCAGAGTCATGCTCTCAGTGACTGGGGTCTCTTCTCTGTGAGGTCTCTTCTCTGCTGCCCAGCATGTCTACTCTTAATCGTTTCTGCAAGATGTCCACTTTTTTTTCTCTATAGTGTCGACTCCCCTGTAACTTTGGCTACCACCACACCGACTCTGGTTGTTAGTACCTCAGGCACCCACAGCTCACTGACATAGATTTCTAGTGTTGTCATTTTGAATTCTCAGAGAATTGCCCTCCAGACTGGGCAGGTGTACACCCTTGATAGAATTCAGCAGTGGCCAGGGGTTGGCTGGGTCCCCTGCTACAAACATGGCTACCTAATGCCTTGCCTTCTATGGGTGAGGATAGTTTCCAGAGAAGGACCGGTGGGAAGTCAGGCATCCTATATAATATTACAGGTATGAATCCAGATCTCCTGACTTACTTGCCAGTGACAGAGCTGCCCATCTTTCTTTCCCTTCGTATCCAACTCAACAAAGGTTTGATGAAATCCATGTGAGCTACTGTGCAAAGGTGCTATGTGTGTATGACTCAGCTTCTGTCAACTCTGTCCTCCTTCCCCCAAGGCCAAGGACAGAACAGGGAAGTCCTTGTCTCCTTAATAGACAGATCACTATGCAGAGCCTCGGCAAGGAGAACCACAGCTTTGTATCTGAGTTCATCCTCCTTGGTTTCTCCAGTGAGTCACAGGTCAGAATAGCCCTGTTCTCCTTCTTCCTTCTCCTCTACCTCATCATTCTTCTGGGCAATGGACTCATCATCACCCTGATCTACATGGACTCACACCTCCACACACCCATGTACTTCTTTCTCAGCATCCTCTCCTTGGTGGACATGAGCTATGTCACTACCACCATGCCCCAGATGTTGATTAATATGGTGTGTCCAAAGAAAACCATCTCCTGGGGAGCTTGTGTAGCCCAAATGTTCATCTTCTTGGTCCTGGGCATTGCTGAGTGTGTGCTCTATGCCATTATGGCCTATGACAGGTATGTGGCCATTTGCTTCCCCCTTCACTATCCCTTGCTCATGGGCCGCTCCATTTGTATCAAGATGGTCACAGGCTGTTGGGCCATTAGCATAGCTGGGGCCCTGATCTACACTGTCTTCACCATGCGTCTGCCTTATTGTGGCCCCTACAAGATAAACCACTTCTTTTGTGAGGTCCCTGCCGTCCTAAAGTTGGCCTGTGCAGACACATCCTTCAATGACCATTTGGACTTCATCTTGGGTTTCACCCTGCTCTTGGTCCCATTCTCCCTCATCCTGGTCTCTTATGTCTGCATCTTTGCCTCCATCTTAAGAATCCACTCATCCCACGGGAGGCTCAAGTCTTTCTCCACATGTGCCTCCCACATTACTGTGGTCATTATGTTCTATGGGCCAGCCATGATAATGTACATGAGGCCTGGCTCCTGGTATGACCCAAAGCGGGACAAGAAGCTAGCTCTGTTCTACAATGTTGTCTCTGCCTTCCTCAACCCCATCATCTACAGCCTCCGGAACAAAGATGTAAAGGGGGCCTTTCTGAATGTATTTGGTAACAGAAGGGCATCTCAGTGACCCAGGATGTTTCAGAGTTGCCCAGAGTCATGGACAACAATGACTATGTCATGGTTCAAGGCCATCGCTTTATTGCTTTTCCTGGATTCTCTCTTCACCCTCTGGAAGTTTCTGTCAGTTCAATCAGATCACAGTCAAATGTTTAACATGCACACATGCTTTTCTACAGTGTAGAGGATTTGGGATAAAAATCATGTAAAGAGTAGACAGATCATACGGAAGCACAGTCTTGCATTACTGTCTGACATGCACTTACAAGTAATAATTAACATTGTTTTTTGCACTAGGAGCTATAAATTCCAAGCTAGAACTATTTTACACACATCTGTGTAACAATGTGGCTAATAATTGATTTGACCTGGACTCAGCTTCTGATACTCTTACCTGATTTTACTATTTAAATCTCACTTTTATTTTGAGAAAATAAATACTATATGTATTTCATAAAATAAAAACATGTGTATATGTACCTCTATATATCTGTATGCATATTTCTACCTCTATATAGAGAGAAAGGGAGAGAAAGAGACAGAGACTCACAAAGAGAAGTAATAGAAAAAAATAACAAAGGCCCCATTTTTCCAAATCCCAAATAAACACTTGTTGGGGTGCCTGGGTGGCTCAGTAAGCTAACCATCTGACTCTTGATTTTGGCTCAGGTCATGATCTCATGGTTTGTGGCATCAAGCCCTGTGTTGGGTTCAGGGCTGAGTGTGGAGCCCGCTTGGGATTCTCTCTCTCTCTCTCTCTCTCTCTCGATAATTAAATAAATCTAAAAAAATAAGTGCCCTTTGAATATTCTCAGCTCCTCTGAGTCAACCACTGTCATTAAACTGAGGTCTACTCCATGTAGTTTTAAACTTTAAACTTTTGCTTACAGACAATTGCATCCATAAGCAACACATAGAATTGTTCTTGCATGAATTTGAAAATTTATAATGGTAGCATGATATCCATATTATTCTGAAAACACTATAATTCAACATCTTGTTTCTGACATCTACCCATTCAATATACACAAGCCTAATTCATTCTTTGCAGTGAGCATTTAAATATAACACTTCTCATTTACCTAATCCTATATTGTTGAACATTTATTTTCCAATTTTTCTTTGAACATTTCTCCATTGTAAGTACTGTTTTCCTAGGATTTGTATATAGTGATGGACTTGGCATTATAGATTGTAGATCAAAGCAATTTCAAGTTTACTAAAAACTCCTAAATTATTCTTCCAAATAATTATACGGATACACACCTCCAGTTCTCATCAACACTTGATACTACTTATCTATCTCAAACATCCTAAACTTGCTACCTATCTCATGGATGGAAAGTGGTAAAAATCATTTTTTTGTTTCGTTTGTAATTCCCTGATTGCTAATGAATTTAGCATTTTTTCATAAGATTCTTGGTAGTACTGGGTAGTAAGTTCTGGACTCAGACTACTGTGTTCTAATCCCAGCCCTACTCTTTACTAACTCAGTGGTGATGGGCAAGGTACCTAACTTCTCTGAATCTCAGTTTCCTCATCTGATAATAGGAAGAAAATAGTATAGACATCAGAAGTTTGTTGAAAGGATTAAATGAGACAATACATGTCAAGCACTTGTCATAGTGAAAAACAAATTGTAAATGTTCAGAGAATATGAGATTCTGTTTGCCTTTTCTTTTCTTGATTTGTAGTTTATTATATATTTTGGGTATTGCTTCTTTGTTTGTTACATGCATTGAAGATATCTTTTCCTCAGTTTGTTGCTTGTTTTCTTTATTGCAAAAGTAATATAATATTTATTCTTAAACTTTTATAAAACAGATGCAAACAAAAAGAAGACAATGAGGGGGGTGCCTGGGTGGGTGTCTGACTCTTGATCTCTGTGTAGGTCTTGATCTCAGGGTTGTAAGTTTAAGCCCCATGTTGGGCTCTACGTTGGGTGTGAAGTCTACTTATCTCCTTAGACCTGGAGATAATTACTGTTAACAAACATCTCAATGTCTATATTTTAGGGTTTAAAAGATTTTAAATTGTTTTTATTAATATTTTTAAAGAAATACAATTATTAAACTATTATGTGTTTTCATGATTTCTTAAAAGGTTTTAACACTCTATTTTTGGTCATATTCTCATTTTATTTTATTTTATTTTTTAGAATAGGTGACACACGACATAGTTTCAGGTGTACAACATAGTGATTCAACATCTCTACACATTATGTTGTGCTTGCCACAAGTGTAGCTACCTCTGTCACCATAGGACACTATTACAATATCATTGACTATGTTTCTCATGCTATACCTTTTATTCCCATGACTTATTCATTCCATAACTGGAAGCCTGCATCTCCCACTTCCCTTTGTCCATTTTGCCCATCCCCCCCACCTCCCTACCCTCTGGCGACCATCAGTTTGTTCTCTGTATTTATAGGTCAGATTCTGCTTTTTTTTTTGTATGTTTATTCTTTTGTGTTTTAGATTCCACGTATGAATGAAATCATATGGTATTTGTCCTTCTCAGCCTGACTTATTTTACTTAGCATAATACCCTCTAAGTGGTCCATCCATGTTGTCACAAATGGCAAGATCTCATCCCTTTTTATGGATACGTAGTGATTTTTTAAATTGAATTATACAATATATATTTTCCTGTAACTTGATGTATTCACTCAATAATAGGTTTTGACATTTATCATGTTGATTTGTTTTCATTGCTAAAGAGTATTCTTTTCTTTTTATTCTGATGAATGGAATAATGACTTTTAATAAATAGAATTTTTAATAAACTTATGAATCTTTTCCTTTATGGCTTTTCTTAAATGAACATGTATCAAAGATTTCACTGAGCTCATTAATTCATGTCTCACAGCTCGTGGGTTTGAGCCCCGCGTCGAGCTCTGTGCTGACAGCTCAGAGACTGGAGCCTGCTTCGAATTCTGTGTCTCCCTCTCTCTCTGCCCCTAATCCACTCACATCCTGTCTCTGTCTCTCCCAAAAATAAATAAACATTAAGAAAAAAATTTTTAAAAGACATTATTAATGTATCACTTACTATGTAACTATGTAAAAGTTGAATGAGCTCACGTTAACTTGACAAAATGTTATATTAAAAGTCATTTAAATATTTACTAATTTTTATTTTGTGAGATCTCTGTTTTTCAGCAAATATTCTTTGCTTTAGGGTCTCTGACACATCTGTAGATTATGAAAGCCCAAAGACCCTAGACACTTTGTCTGCAGTACCAAATGGATGAAACAGCCCTGGGGATGCCACTTGGCAGGGGGAGAGGACAATTTCTTGGCCTCCATCACCTTAGACCTCCCAGGGTGCCTTATTTTTCCCCCCCCTGGGAAAGGAGGGATAGCTGAGAAAAGACCTGCCCTCAGGGCACTGTCTGAGCCCCACACACACCCTCCCCAGCTGGCTGGGCTTCATCTCTCCTAGGTCTCTGGGGGGTGACACCCTTTAGTGGGAGCCTGGGCTAGAGGCTGCAGAGACTGTCCTGACTAGGGCCCCATGGACACATGCCACTCAGGAGTGGCCCCTGAGTCTGAGGGAGTCCTGCCCACAACCCCCTTCCCCGCGGGATTATAAACTTAGGACAGCATGCCCCCAACCATCCTGGGGAAAAGCGAGGCTACTGGCTGTCTGCCTCGCCCAGCCTTGCAGCGAGGTTGGGGAGGAGCCCAGCCTGATCTGCAGTCCTGCTCACCAGCTGCCTGTCTCTTTCCCCACGTCTGTGTGAGTGTGCGCACGACTGTCTGTCTGCCTGTCTTTCTCTGGCCTGCGATCTTCTGTCTCTGCCTCTCTTTCTCTGTCTTGCTTTCCATCCCTTTCTGCCCATCTCTTTCTGCCTCTGTTTCTGCTTGCTGCTCTGTTTCTCTGCCTCCAAGTGTCTGTCTCTCTGCCCCTCCTCCTGCAGCTCTGGCTTGGCTGTGCTGACTGATCTTCAGCACTCTGCCCCTCTTGCCTGTTGACCCTGTGTATCGCTCCCCGGACCACAGCATGAGTCTGCGGCAAGGCCTCTCTCTACCCATCCCTGGTCCTCCTCTTCTCTGCCTCTGCCGTCTCCGTGATTCACATGGATCTCCCCCCTGGCTTTCCCTGGGTCTCCCCCTTGAACCTGACCCTTGGCCCAATCGCTCCTTCACCTTCCTGCCATCTCAGCCTCCACTCCTCTGTCACTGTCTGGTCTGCACTCGCCCACCTTCTTGCTCTCCACCTCCAGCTCCTTATCTCTCCTCTCTCCACACCCCTGCCCTATGGCGTCTGTCCCTCTCCTCCCCTGTTTGGTCTCCACCAGCTCTCTGAGGTGCAGTGGCCCTGGGCAGCCCTCCTGCAGTTCCCACCCCACCTTCCCAGCACTGCAGACCATCACCTGTCTCTCCTTGGCTCCCACCTCTTTCCCTTCTGTGTCTTCTCCTCATTCTGTCCCTCTGATCCTCTCCCCATGGGTCTCCACCGCTCCACGGCTCTTTCCTTCAGTCCTTTCTCCTCTTCCTTCAGAAAGAGAAGAATGACCATTCTTCCACTTTCTTCCTCCTTCAGTGCTGGTCTTTTCTCTCTCCTGTCAGTGCCCCTCACATTCTGGTTCTCTGTGCCTCTCTGCCTCCTTATCACTTGTATGCGAGTCTCTTTTTCCCTCCCAGAGCCTCTCTATCTTTTCCCATTATTTTTTCTGCGTTTGTTGCTTTCTGGGTCAAGTTTCCTATTTCTCTGGGTCATGCTTAGCACCTGCAGGTCAACATTGACACTGGGGGAGGGTGTACGTGTGTGTGACAGGGGAAAGGGCTGGAGAAAGGAAAAGGGAGGAGAAACCATATATCTTCAGAACCTGACAGAATTAAATATTACTGTAATCAACCTCCATTTTTACGGATAAGAAATAATTACTGGCTCTGAGTCATGGCAGTAAGTAGCAACAGTGAAAACCTAAAACTCTCGGGCCTTTCATCTCCTAGCTGTGCTGCAGAAGAGTAGATATGAGAGGAGGAGATAAATATAAGGGTCCGAGTGAAGAAGCAAACAATTTTCCTCTAATTTCTATTACATCCTAACAAGGGGCCAAGGCTGGCACCCCCAGCCCCAAGCCACAGACAACCTGGGGATTAGAGGCTCACCCCTTACCAGGACCTTGCAATCAGACAACCCATTCCTGTCCTCTCACTGGTACAGGTCATCATCAAACCTGGCTGTGGGAGAGTCAGAACCTGAGGCTCAGAGAGGCCGAGCAACTGACCCTGAGACACACAGCAAACCA